GAACTCCTGACCTCAAGTGATCCACCTGCTTTGTCCTCCCAAAGTGTTGGGATTACAGGTGTGAGCCACTGCGGCCCACTATACTTCTCAAACAACAGTACAAATGCTTTTCTGTGAGACAATTGCCCTTTGGTGTGCAGCAGAAGTGCTTTATTTCTACCTCCTATTTTTCCCATGTGAGTATAAAAAGCTGCATACTCTCAATTTGTGCTTCTAGTTAAGATGGAACTGGATTTGTCATCCCACCTGAAATATATTAAAAATGATATTCACAATGGATTGGATAAAGAAAATGTGACACGCGCACACACACACACACACACCCTGGAATACTACCCAGCAATTAAACATAATAAAATTTTGTCTTTTGTAGCAACATGGATGGAACTGGAGGCCATTATCTTTAGTGAAGTAGCTCAAATAGCACATGTTCTCACTTATAAGTGGAAGCTAAATAATGTATACACAATGACAAATGACATGAAGAGCAGAATAATAGACATTGGAGACTTGGAAGGGTGGGAGGGTAGGAGGGATGAGAAATTACCTGATGGGTAAATGTATACTATGTTTTCAGCAGATGCTTACACTAAAAGCCCAGACTTCCCCACTATGCAGTGTATCCATGTACCAAAACTGCCCCTGTATTCTCTTAAGTGTATAAAAATTTTAAAAATGATGTTCATATGTTAGAAAAGAGGTACCACAGGAAAGTGGTGAGAAAAGGGAAAAGAAATGAGATGAGCCTGATGTTTTCTCCAGCTTACTGCTTTGAGAGTTTCCAGGATGCAGTGCAGGTAGGAGGAATCTACCTAGAGCTGGTGGTCTCCATGAGATGAAAAGGCAGACTTGAGGAGCTCTCTGTCCTCCTATACTCTGTCCTGCTAGGTTTAAAATCTATCTTCATGGAGAGGGATCTTCAGAAGGCAGTAAAACAACAGTTTTATTACTTCATCAATGACATTCTTAAGTGAGACTGGCTCTTTTTCTTTTCTTTTATCTTTCTCTCTCTCTTTTTTCTTTTTCTTTTTTTTTTTTTTTTTTTGAGACGGAGTCTCGCCCTGTCGCCCAGGCTGGAGTGCAGTGGCTGGATCTTGGCTCACTGCAAGCTCCGCCTCCCGGGTTCACGCCATTCTCCTGCCTCAGCCTCCGGAGTAGCTGGGACTACAGGCGCCCGCCACCTCGCCCGGCTAGTTTTTTGTATTTTTTAGTAGAGACGGGGTTTCACTGTGTTAGCCAGGATGGTCTCGATCTCCTGACCTCGTGATCCACCCGTCTCGGCCTCCCAAAGTGCTGGGATTACAGGCTTGAGCCACCACGCCCGGCCTCTTTTTTCTTTCTTTATGCATGGCAGTGAAAAATACAATGATGACTGGGCATGGTGGCTTACGTCTATAATCCCAGCACTGTGGGAGGCCGAGGCAGGTGGATCACCTGAGGTCAGGAGTTCGAGACCAGCCTGACCAACGTGGTGAAACCCTGTCTCTACTAAAAATACAAAAATTAGCCAGGTATGTTGGTGCATGCCTATAATCCCATCTACTCAGGAGGCTGAGACGGGAGAATCGCTTGAACCTGGGAGGCGGAGGCTGTAGTAAGCCGAGATTGCACCATGGCACTCCAGCCTGGAAAACAAGAGTGAAACTCCTAGAAAGAAAGAAAGAAAGAAAGAAAGAAAGAAAGAAAGAAAGAAAGATCGCCTAGCTAGTTTTTTTGTATTTTTGTAGAGACGTTTCACTGTGTTACAGATTGTCTCGATCTCCTGACCTCGTGATCTCACTCGTCTCGGCCTCCAGCGCTGGGATTACAGAGGCTTGTTTCACCAATGCCGCCCACCTCTTTTTTTTCTTCTTTGCATGGCAGTAAAAATACAAATGACACCAGCATGGTGGCTTACGCCTATAATCCCAAGTACTGGGAGGCCGAGGCAGGTGGATCACCTGAGGTCAGGAGTTCAGACCCAGCCTGACCAACTGGTGAAACCCGTTCTACTAAAAACAAGGAAAATTAGCTGTATGTTGGTGCATGCCTATAATCCCTATCTACTCAGGAGGCTGAGACGTGGGAGAATCGCTTGAACCTGGGAGGGCGAGGAGGGCCACAGGTAAGCCGAGATTGCACCATGACTCAGCCTGGAAACAAGATGAAACTAGAAAGTTGTTGTTATGTTGTTGTTGTTGCGCAGCAGCAGCAGTGCAGAAAGAAAGAAAGAAAGAAAGAAAGAAAGAAAGAAAGAAAGAAAGAAAGAAAGAGAAAGGAAGGAAGGAAGGAAGGGGAGAGAGAGAGAGAAAGAAAGAAAGATAGATAGATACAATGACTACAAGCATAGATTTTCCTCCTCAATAGTACAGTTTTGTGTCCCGTCTTGATAGTGGCTAAGGTGCCAGCATTTTTACCCGTCATTGCTTTTGTAATATCAGTGCAAAGTCAATACAGTAGAAAAGGTAAATCTGGTTTTGGTATTATAAACGTTGATTTGACTTGGGAGACAGCCAAGAGCGTCTTGGAGAATCCCCAGTATCCATGGACCACACTTTTGAAAACTATTGTTTTATAGACCCTTCTGGTCATTACTACTTTGGTCTAATGGCATCACTTTAAAGGTGAGACTGGGTGTAGGAACATCCTGCCATGGCAGCTTCATGGAGAAGATGTTTTGGTAATTGGGTCCTTCATTTCCCTTACATCACAGTATAGAATCTATACTGTAATGGAAGTAAAAATTTCTCCACTTGAGAACAGTGTTATCACTACATACAACACATTTTTCCATGATGAAAAATGGGGTCTGAAACTTAAAATGGAAAAGTCATTAGTTATCTTCCATAGGAAGAGTTTGAAGAAAGGAAAAGTTGAAGTAGGGCAAAAATAGCAGACATAAGGGATTTCTAAAAGTTTCCCAAATGAAGGAAGACAGAAAAGAATGAGTGAAGGAAAGGAGAAGGATATTTAGTGTGTAAGACACTAGAAAAGGTATGCATAAGGAAAGAAGGGATACATACATAGTGGTGTTGGATTTGTAGATTCGTGGAAAGTTGTCAGAAAAGCTGACATATTAAAAAAACCCGATGTATTGAAATCAGTCTCACTAGCTATGTGGAATGTTGTAGATTTGTACCAGATACAATACATGGATGCATTTGTGGTGGATACAGGAGATGCGCTGCCCAGATCTGCCCCCAGGGAAGGACCCTGCTCCAGCTGTTGGAGGCCGGCTGGCTGACAGCCTCTAGCAGTCAAGCTCTTTTGGCTGGAAAGCGGCTTGCAGGAAATCACTCCATGGAGGTGCAGAGATAAGGCCCCAGCCATTTTGGCCCAGTATGGAACAACTTTGACAGTCTTTTTCAGCTTCAGGACTCCCATGGAGTTGGGTGAGGTTGTTGGGCCTGCTTTGCTGCTAACTTCTCCCTCTGTTCTCTCCTGTTCCCCCTTCTTCCTCCCACAGGGGTTTGTCCCAAGGGCACTCCCTAATACACATCCTGCATGTTAAACTCTTGTCTCAGAGTCTGCTTCCTGTAGATACCAAACTGTAAGAACATCTTATTGACTTAAATATAACCAAAATTGGAGAACCTTAGGAAACAGAAAATCATCATTACATTATGTACTAACATTTTAGCTTATTTCTGTATTTCTTGTTTGGAATTGCTTATACTTAGCATGATAGTACCTCTCACATTTTGTTTCATTTCCACGTCCTCTTTCTTATAGGAACCATATTGTGAAAAGACATAAAGGTAATAGGGTAAAAAAAAAAAAAAAAAAAAAAAGGCTCTTTATTACCCAGCCACTCGGGAAATGCACTACTTCAAGATTGACCCAGGCAGCAAGAGAGGAATATATTAGGGAATGTGACAGTGGTTTAGTTCTGAAACTGGGGCCAATAGAAAGTTCTGAAGGGGTCCGATGATCAGAACTGTCTGTGGGTGTAATAAAGGTATACTTAATTTTATTTAAGCCTAGAGATTTAAATTGTCACTCAAAACTCTCAGACATGAACAGGGTTAGCAAACGTGAACATCAGGAAAGGAGTTATTTACATCCTGTCTTCTCCTACAGCTCCAGAGGAGGGCAGAACAGTGTATTCCCAGGCAAGCCCTCGCTTTAAAAACTCATAGCCAAGACTAGGAAGACAGAGTGAGTGGGTGGGCCTTCTGGCAGCTTCCTTACCTTCAAATCTTTGCTCTCTGGGAAGTGGTTCTGCTTCAGTGTCCTTGTTCCGATTTTTCTGGGAACTAGATGTTACTGGGAGATGACTCAGAGCAGGCCGAGCCCTGATCCTCACTGTGGAAGCAAAAGAGGCTGGTGAAAGTCACTGTCGTGACAGCTTGGACCAGAAACCTACCGACAAAACTAAAATGTTTTCCCGCACTAGGATTATCTGGATAACAATGACCTTTGATGTTACAAAGTAAATAAAATCGTGTTTGGCTTTTCCTTTTGTGGCCATGCCTTGGCGAAGATGACTGCCTTCAGAGCCGCTGTGAATATTTTAGATCTCATTATTTCAGACCATTACTTTGACCATCTTTTTCAATTTGAGAGTATGATGGTCTGTCTTCTGTGAGGCAAGGCAACTGTCTGTGAGACAAAAGACAAAAGGCAAAGATGCACTGTCATACTTTTCCTTGCAGGTTCCAGTACAGGCTTTCTATGGGGGGGGTCTCAGTTTCCCTGTCTGTAAAATGGGATTAGTGGATTACATCCGGGAAGGGTGGACAAGCACCTAGGATGGTGCATGGTGCAGTGTTCAGCAGACGTCGATTCCCTGTCCACCCCTTCTTTAGGAGCTGTGGGAAACACTTCATAACTCCCTAGGGTCTGGTGAACCCTTCCTCCCTTTTCTATTCCCTGTTTTGGCATTGGAGATCATAAAAAGCCTCTTCCATGTCTCTTCCTTCCTTCCTTTCATCCTCTCCCAGAGAAGGAAGTGGCCGCCTTTGTTCCCTTGGATTCGGAAGCTTGTGTCTGTCACCCAGGGCTGCCCAGCCCCGGGGTTTGCGAAGGTCCGGGGTAGGAGGGCTGCAGCCTGCGCGACGCGGCGGGAGGCGACCCGGAGGCGATGGGAAGGCGGGCGCAGTCGACCCAAGGGTGGAGAAGAGGGAAGGCGAAGGACGCGCGTTCCCGGGCTCGTGACCGCCAGCGGCCAGGGGAACTCGCTCCCAGACAGCCTTGGAGAGATGGCAGGCGGAGGGGACCGGCGAGTCGTGGGCACCCTCCACCTGCTGCTGCTGGTGGCCGCCCTGCCCTGGGCATCCCGGGGGTTCAGTCCGAGTGCCGCAGCCTGGCCAGAGGAGAAGGTGAGGGGCTGTTTCTGCGTAGTTGTACTTGAGCGGCTCTGGTCCGGTGCGGGGACCCTGGCCCGGCCAGCCCTACCTAGGCAGAGCGGGAGGCGGGGCAGGGCCGCGGTCCCCAGCCCAGGCACCGGCGCCCGGAGGAGTCGGGGCTCTGCGTACTCGCCAGGGTGCCTCGGCCGGTTCGGGGCTGCTCTGGAGACGCCAGGGGGGCTGGGTGATGTCACTGGTCTCCCCTGGGCTGCGGTCTGATGGGGGTGCTAATAGGCACAGGAAATGTGTCTCGCCAGCGGCCGCTGAGCCGGGAGGCGAGGGCGCATCGCGGCGCCACCGCCCACTCAGGACCCGCGAGGCCAGCGGAGCCCGCGCTCCGGGGCCGCCAGGGTGCGGGGCGCGCCTGGGGGTGTGCCCGCAGATCCCCCGCTGCTTCATCCAAGGATGCTGCTGGGGCGCTGAAGTGTCCCTACAGTCTCAGGACGGATGTGTGTTGTTTGTTTTAGATTTTTAAAAAGAGCAACTCAGAAGGAAGGACCTTCACTGGAGACCTGCTTACTTTAAAAACCTTTTTTTTTCTTTCCCCCTTAAAAGAGGGTACCTGCTATTTTCAGAGAAAATGGATCTAGTTGTAGGTAGAAATCGCATATAAGGAACTTAGGATAAAAGTGATTTGCAAGTTCCCTCTGCAAGAAGTATATGGGTTCACAATTACTTCCTTTTCTTGTGTAACAGTTTTGAAATCATGAAATTGCTAAGGGATTGTGCAAATGTTAATGATGTTAGCATAAAATAGTATGTTACAGAGATATTAAGAAAAGCAGCAAAGTAAAGCGATGTAAACTTTGGCAGTGTTATTGAGCAGACGTTTTACACACTTAGAGTATGCCTGTATCTACTCAAATGTTTGAAATACAGGGCACACTGGCGAATGCCCACTCCCACCCAGCTACATGCATATGTACGTGAACAGCCCATTTCAATTCTTCGGATCTAATGTAATCACCACTCAGGGGTCACAGCAGGCCCCACTTACACATGGAGACCACAGGCCACAGGGAACCTGGTGGGAGTGAGGGAAGTCTGTAACGTAAGAATAACTTTACTGTAAGAAAAACAGCTTCCCATGGGGGCCCATGAAGAAGAACGTGGAACGACACACAAAAAAAATCCTCTCCTTCTTCACTTCACTGAGAATACCTTTCTGGTCAGAAATTGGGAAGAGAACATTACAAACTAGAATATAGAGCCAAACCAAAAGTATCTTTGTGATACATCTAAATGGAAGGGAATAAATGAGATGGAAACTGAAAAAAAACAATCTGAAAAGATCATTTGTAGGTGTGTGTTGGCAGGGGTATTTATGGGTGGGAAAAGGTGCTGGCTGTGGTTCTTAAAATATTTTAAACCAATGAAAATTTAACTTTCGAGAAACATTTTTTAAAGCATTAATCGAATCCCTTTTATATTTATTTTAAGAAGCTTCTGATCACTGTTCCATTGAGAAACTGAATGTTTTCAAATCGTTAAAAGTGAATGACAATCAGCCATCACATTTCCCAATTTCTAGCTTCCTCCCCTTATTCTGTAGACCTTCATAAAGTCTTGCAGCCTGGGTGATGAATTGGTCCACACTAAAATATATGTGCTTTCCTACTTTTTACGGTGTCTGACTATTTTAATCATATGATGTATGTCCTTGGTACACTGATCTGCCAACAGGTGAGGTGTGGTAAAGAAAGCATCGATTTTGAAATCCATTTCCTTCGTTTTGAAATAAAGGTGTGTCTCTTTCAGTGGCTTTGAATATGTAAAAGCAGATCAACTCTAGTTTATGGTGGCATTCAGAGACCATGATTTGATTATATATTTGAAACCTGGAAACAATTGTTCCATAATAACAATACTATAAATTGTTAAACTCCCAGGTGGGCACACACATGTGTATTTAGAGGCATTGGCATCTGGGTATGGGGTGATATATATATATATATACACACACATATATATATATATATACACATACACATATATATATACACACACATCACACGTCACTTGAACTTCACAGCACCCCCCATGTGTGAATTCATCCTCAATTTATGGATGAGGAAACTTGACAACTATTACACCAGCGAATTGAAGAGCTAGGGTTTGGCTGAAGCCCTGATCTCTCCTTTCTTCTTCTATGCTTTTCTAATGGTAGATGAGTCCTGGCTGATGTACCCAGAACAGTGCCCAGGTAGTACAAAAGTGTGGGGCTAGCAGGAAAGTTGGAGGGCCAGATGAAGAGCTTACTCTCTCTTTCTGGGCCGGGGTGGACCCTAAATGGCATTCCAAAACAGGTAGTTTGTTTTTGGTACCTTCTCTTCTGACATCCCCTATTTTCTCCTTTCCTTGATCTCCTTCATGCAGCTTAAAGGTCATCATTATTCTGGGTGTTGATCCATATTCCAGAGTTACTTTTTCTGAACCTTCCCCAGGCCTTTTGGTCACCAGTCCTATTCCTTTAGTACAGGCCCATTCCTTTAGTACAACATTGTCAACCAGCTGTTAAACAGAATCTCATTAAATCATTCCTCCTTAGGTGCAAATGACTGATGGCTTTTGAGGGCTTTATATGTTCTTTAAAAAATATTAGCTCCAATAAACTAAAAAGTCTGGCTTCTATTGAAGTCTTCTAATTATAAAGTTGACATGTGCTCATTTTAGAAAACTTGGAAAATACAGAAAAATACATTAAAAAGAAAACTAATGTCACCCATAATCCCACTTTTCAGAGATAATTGCTATTAACCATTTTGGTGTTTTTATTTCTATTTCTCTCTCTCTCTCTCTCTCTGCGTGTGTGTGTGTGTGTGTGTGTGTGTGATTGTTGTTTTTGTATTCTAATGGAAGCAACGATGGAGACTCTAAGGCAGGGACGTGGAAGTCAGTGGCGGACTGGGTGTTGGTAGGGAGAGAAAGACCAAATGTCATTTTGGAGCCTTACCATCTGGTTGGTAAGTACTATGAGATCCATTTTACAGATATGGACTCTTTCCTAGTCACAGCTGATAAGTGAGGGAGCTGAGATTTCACCCTAAGTTGTTGTGGTTAAAGCCTGCACTGCTCTGCTTTTAAGTGGAGGGCTGCTTACATTTAAAAAAAGACAGATGTTGTCTTATTCAGTTCCCAACCATTCCCCCAGTGAATTTTTAGTATCAGTGGCTTCTGACACACAGAATGAGTTCAATAACTGCTGATTGAGCTGACTTTGCAGACAGACAGAGGTGTTAATCTGAGAATTGCCTGGGAGACACTCATATAGAATAGAAACTGGACTTGCATTGGCCGCACTTCTGTAATGATCTCCCTTTAATTCAATGTTTTGGAACCTCAAAACCCTTTGCAAGCTGGGCCAACTCTATCAATTATGTAACTAAAACCCTCTTTGGCCTGGCACCACATGATTAGCCTAGAGGAGATGCTTCAGGATATCTGGTTCACACTTTTGGCTGAAAGATTCTTGTCACTCAGAACAGGCTTACTGTCCTTTCTGTCTGGATGAAAAGACAAGGCAGGGGCTGTAACAGAGTCTCATTCCTCTGAGAACACCTGCACTGATAGAAAATTGTCTATGTGTCTTTTAACTGAGATAACCCTACAGTAAATTGGGGTTTGCATTTACCATTGGGCTCAACTTTGTTTTTGCCTGAGTTACTTTCCCCCTGCTGAGCTCACTCTTTCTTTCCAGCTTTTTCCTCTTACTCATTCATCTCATCTCCACCTAAATTTGTATATTTATTGAGTTCTGAGCATAAGACCCCTTAAACATTGAATGCATACTATTTAGGTTGGGAAAGTCAAATGCTTTTCCACACAGGACTTTAATGAATAGAAGGCTTAAGTAATTGCCTGAGTGTAGTTAGTTGTTTCCTCTTCTATGTCCTTCAGTTACTGGGAAGCTTTTAACTCTGTGATTTTACAGGGGCATCTTTGCCCCCAGAGGGGCAAGGAGAGTCAGGGCTCTTTACTGAAGTATGTTAATTAAATGGTTGAGCCCAGGAGGTTGAGGAGCAAACACATGTAAGTCTTTAGATTCATGAGCATCAGTAGGCCTGGCCTGTCTGCTGGATTTACCCTTTAGTTATCCATTAAGCATTTTTTGGTGCTATTTGCCAACTAGGTTTCATCCACAGTATCTCTTATAATTAGAGATGCTTGGGGGAGGGGGCATTTATTTTGTTCCTGTTTTTTCTTAAATATCTTAAGAGCTCTTTCAAGCCTCTAGAAACCAGCTATTTAAACACAAGTGATTTCGTTTCACTCTGGACATGGAGTGAAAGCTTCTGTCCACAGTGACCAGATGGGCTTTGGGATAGAGTATTGGACAGTAAATAGACAAGGAGCTACTCGTCAAGCAGCTTTTTACACAACAGTTTTGGTTGTCATAGCGACTGCTTGGGTCAACCCAGCTCTTCATCATCAGAAGCATCGAATGTCAGAAATTCAAGAAGAGCAAAGCCCAATAACTTTGAACCACAGCACTTCCTGGCCATGGCACCAGGTAGCCACCTGTCTCTTCTGTCTTTATGCTTGCTTGTGCATTCAACTGATTTGGTATTTACAATGCAGAAAAATGCCCACATTACTTTATTATTATATAAATACAGTCTTAGCAAAGATAATTTTAGAAAGATAGATCATCTGTTGATTGCTATTTTGATTAATTTGCCCAATATTTATCAAATGCTCAAGATGAACCAGGCCCTGTGTGGCCTTTGTGGGAGAGAGAGGTAAGCAACAGAGAGAGAGGGAGTTCCAGCCCTTATGGAGCTGATGTCTTGTATGAAAGACAGACATTAAACAAGTAAACACACAAAGAAGTGGCCTCCAAGCTGCAAGCTGAAGTGAGCAGGAGTTAGCCAGGTGAAGAGGAAGGGAAACAGCTTGTAAGGCAAAAGGCACCGCAGACGCCAAAGCCTCATGAGGGCATAACCTCAGAGCATTTGAGGCCTGGCCAAATGCCAGGGTGACCGAAGCATGGTGAGCAAGGGTGAGGGGGGAGACCAGACAGGCTTCTGTTGGCCGGGTTGAGTAATAATTAACCATGGAAGTCTTCTGACCTCTTGCCTCCGTATTCTTCTTATCCCTTGGCACATTTTTTCAACTTCAGCTTTCTTTTTCCAACTGCTGTTTGGGAACTGGCGTGAGGACTTAGATCCCGGAGGTACCAAGGGATTTAAAGCCTGCACTGACAAGTTTATCAAGGAAACTATTTAAAAATGTCCTACCAATAAACAAACACAAATCTTCTGATGTTCAGGCACACCATCAATATTCAGGAATAAACTGGAAGTGCATACATGATACAGTGAGGCAGAGTAAAACTAGCGTGGGATTGGAAATCCACAGACGGGATCTTTTTGTGGATTTACCTATAACTCTCCTTCAACCTCAGGAAGTCAACTGGTTTCTATGAATCTCAGTTTTAACAAATATAAATGAAGGAGGTTGGAGACTAGAGCATCTCTAAGTGGCTTTTCCAACTTTAAAATTCATTCTATGGCTCTTTAGTGTTTGATAGAAGGAAATAATAACTAATACATTGAATATTTACTATGGCAGTTTACCTATGTTAGTTCACTTAATTCTAGTTACGCTAGGATTCAGGTGTTATTACCTCTGTTTTACAGATGAGGAAATTGAGCCTTACGGAGGTTTAGTAACCTGGAAAGAGTTACAGCTAGTAGGTGGTGGGGTGCTGAGTTGAGAGGGTCTGTCTGATCCTATAGCCTCTTTGCATGGTAAGTACTGGAGAGCAAACAGCCATCTCAGAGTGTAGATGAGTGTAAGTAATTAGGCAATAAGCATTATCTGAAGTCCAGTTTCACACCAGTCACATGGACTGGATCACATGGAATGAAAATACTTGCCTGACTACTTAAACGTATTCAACTAACGCTGGTCCTGAAAGGAACTATAAACTAGGCCTCCCCTAACTTCCGTTTTGCCTTCCAAATAATTCAATATTCTTATGTCATTCTCATCCTTCCCCTTAGGGAAGGAGTCATCTGATCAATTATTCTCTTCCTGTTGAGGAGGAGTAACACATTCCATTATTAGGTACCTGATAAACATGTAATGAATGAATGGTTCATCATTACCAGTATCATAAGAATATACAGTATGTGTGAAGTCATCAAAATACAAATTTGAATGTTATGTGAACTTTAATGGAATTTAAAAATAATTTTAATTGAAGTTAAAAAGTTTACTATTTAGTTGGCTATAGGCTCACCAATCTCAGGCTGAAAGGAATTGCAACAATCATCCGAGTTGGCACTGTCTAATAGCAATAATGACTCAGGGCCAGGTATGGTGGCTCACGCCTGTAATCCCAGAACTTTGGGAGGCCGAGGCGGGTGGATCACCTGAGGTCAGGAGTTTGAGACCAGCCTGACCAATATGATGAAACCCCGCTCTACTAAAAATACAAAAATTAGCTGGGCGTGGTGGCATGCGCCTGTAATCCCAGCTACTCAGGAGGCTGAGACAGGAGAATTGATTGAACCCAGGAGGCGGAGGTTGCAATGAGCCAAGATCATGCCATTGTACTCCAGCCTAGGCAACAAGAATGAAACTCCATCTAAAATTAAAAAATAAAAAGAAATAATGACTCAGCTACTCAGGAGACTGAGGTGGGAAGATTGATTGAGCCTGGGAGGTGGAGGTTGCAGTGAGCCAGATTGCACCACTGCACTCCAGCCTGGGTGACAGAGAGAAACCCCAGCTTAAAAAAAAAAAGATTATGAAAGAAACATATGTAATTTTAATTTTTCTAGTAGCCACATTAAAAAAGCGGAAAAAGGGTAAAATTAATTTTAATAATATACTTCATTTAACCTAATATATCAAAAATTTACAATTTCAACATGTAATCATTATAAAATTTTGAATTAGGCTTGCTATTAAAATCCTATTAAAATTTGAGGACCCCTTAATTTGTGGATCATCTATAAAGTCTTCCCTGACTACTCTTACTCTAAACGGTGTAAGATTTACTTAGACTAACAGTTGGGTTTTTAAATTATTTTTAAATTTTTTATTGAGACAGGGTCTCCTGTTGCTCAGCTGGAGGGCTCAGTAACACAGCTCACTGCAACCTCGACCTCCTGGGCTCAAGCAATCCTCCCACCTCAGCCTCCTGAGTAGCTGAAACAATGGGCACACACCATGGGTCACCACACCCAGTTAATTTTTTCATTTTTTGTAGAGACAAGGTCTCATTATGTTGCTAGAGCTGGTCTCAAACTCCTGGGCTCAAGCAGTCCTCTTGCCTCAGCTTCCCAAAGTGCTGACATTACAGGTTTGAGTCACCGTGCCTGGCCCTAACAGCCCAATTTTAAAGTTGAGTAGTTTAATTTACCTAATTTGACATAAAGTTCTCCCTTATTTTGAAGTTTTAAGCAATTAATTGCAAACATGTCAGAGTCTTAAACATATTATGAAATGATAGCCAGTTAAATGATTTCATTGAATCCTCAGAATTATCACCAACCAGCCATTTTGAATTCATCGGCTCTTCGGCAAATTGCAGAAGGCACCAGTATCTCTGAAATGTGGCGAAATGACTTACAGCCGTTGCTGATAGAGCGATACCCGGGATCCCCTGGAAGCTACGCTGCTCGTCAGGTGAGAACATGGGACATAAACCTCAAGGTTGTGTGAATACTTTGCTTTCCCATGAGGGATAGTGTTATGGCTGAAGTTCTGAGGTGTCTAATATTCAGATCTGTCATCTTCTTATTCACCAAATAGTCAACCAAGAAAAATCAAACGACTGAGAGTACGTGTCTGTTCTGAATACTAAGTGGTACATGTTAATGTCAATAGTTTATGTGTGAAGTCTCTATTTGGGGTACAACATTACACAGTCCTTAACTCTTAACCATTCAGTTACACACCCGGAGTCTCCCAACCAAGTTTTCTTGAATCCTAAGCAATGAACAGCAACAGCCTTAGGGAGTCCTTGCTTGAAGGTTCTGGGCCAAGAGTATCATTGTACTATCAGGCCATCACTTGCCTTAGGGAAATTGTATTCTCCCTGGAGGGAGAGTTAAGGCTGGTGATAAGCTACATTTCTCCAGGGCAGTGCTTCTCAAACTTCTGACTCTGACAGAAAGTAAAAAAAATGGATTTTACATTTTATACCCACAAACGTACTAGTATATTTAACTGAAACAAAACTTCCATGAAAAATACTCTTATTTATACTTGCATTTTACTGCGATATTGTCAGTTCTATTTTATTGGTTCTTAAAAAAATGCTGGTCATAACCCACAAACTGATTTCAAGACCCATTGATTTTACCACCATCGTGGAGGGTAGAATAAGCTGGGCCAGACCTTGGATATCCCTTTGCCTCTTTAATGTCGGTCTTCCTAAGCAATCTGAAACCTCACCTCTGAATATCTGTTTTTTTCAAACTACCCCATTTTAAGGGGCCACTTGGGAAGGAATGGGACTGGCCTTTCACATCCTCTTCTGAAACTCCTCAGGCAAAAGACCTTGGCACCCACTGCTGTGCCCAGAGTGAGAACTGCAAGTCCCAGGTGCCCAGCTCTTGAGCTCTTCCTTTCGATTTCAGAGTCTCGCTCTGTCGCCCAGGCTGGAGTGCAGTGGCACGATCTCGGTTCCTTGCAACCTCCGCCTTCTGGGTTCAAGGCATTCTCCTGCCTCAGCCTCCCCAGTAGCTGGGACTACAGGCGCATACCATCACGCCTGGCTAATTTTTGTATTTTTAGTAGAGACGGGATTTCACCACGTTTCCCAGGATAGTCTCTATCTCCTGACCTCGTGATCTGCCTGTCAGCCTCCCAAAGTGCTGGGATTACAGGCGTGAGCCACCAAGCCGGGCTGGGGTCTTCCTTTCTACCCAGTGGGTAGCCTCTGCCCCTCAGGCTAGCCTAGATATCCATATGTCTGTCTCCCCATTAGCCTCTTGTCTTCCATCTGAATAGCTCTGGCTTCTCCCAAGGAATTAGACAGTAGACGACCTGCAGGCACCTTAGTTCTGTCTAACCTTTAGGGAGAGAGAAGAATAATAGCGATGATGGCTGACTTTCACTGAGCAGTGTTTCTGGGTCAGGCACTTTACTGAATTCTTTGCATAGATCATCTCGTTCAGCCTTCACAACTGTGTGTGGATGCTATTATTATCTCAATGTTAGGAATTTAAAAAGATCTGAGGTTGAGGTATATGAATTGACTTGCTCAAGGTTATACTTGTACCAGTGATGAGGCCAGAATCTGCTTGAGATCTCTATCTTATCACTGGAGAGCTGGGATAAATCAGTTCTGTGCTTCGTGCCCTCAGATGTCTCCAGCTCTCGATCTTCTTATGCCCAAGTTGGACAGTAAGGCACATACCATTCGCTTTAACAATATTGCCTGGGCCTTATCTCTCAAGCATTTTCTTAAAAGAAGGTCAGGGCACTTAACTGGCATTTTCCAAAAGCCTCAGTTCCTTGTTAGAAAAAATCGAGGTCTCTGATGCTTACTCTTCCCATTCAACTCAACCTCTTTTATTTCCCCATACCGTTTGCCCGGAGCACTGTATATACCCAGAAATGATATGCATACTTCAGGCCTGAGGTTCCTCGCCTGCAGGCTCTGGAAATCCATGAACACAATAAACATGGCTAGTTGATTTTTAGCTTCAACAGAAGACAGTATATAGCATAAATAATATACATAGATACTGTTGTGATTAAAAAGATACGTATTCATTTAAAAGTGTTACTAAAGTTTCAGTAACCTTCTCTTCTATCATATGGGGGTGGAGGCAAATGAGAAATTTATAGACAGTATTTTAGAATGTGTTGGGAACTACTGCTGGGCTGCCTATGCATGGTCTAGCTGATGGCTATGTTAGAGATCTCACTTAGATTCCATTTTAGAATTTTTTGAGAAGAAAATTACCATTAATTTTTAGAGACCTATCTTCTAAGCTGTGGAAGACAAAGGAATTCTCATTTTGAAAGTGAAGTAGATGACAGAGTAATTATGAGGGAACTACACGAATGGCCTTAATTTGACTAAGATTAGATCCTTTCATGTAGAACTGAATTAAAACAAAAATGATTGAACCTTTTTTTTTTTCTTCTGAGGACTTTTTGAACACTAGATGAGATGTTTTATAATGTAGAGTTTCAAGGATATAACTAGAGAAGATCCTCAAATATTAAAAAAGGGTAAACTTGATATAAAATTGGTTTGTGAATTAACTTTTGTAGTTATCAGTAAAGATGTGCATTACTATGGATTCTCTTTTACAGAAAGAGAATATTTTGGGGGAAACCTGTCCTACATTATGTGTTTTCCTGGTCTCTGATCAATGACCCCAAAGCTGCCTATTGGATTATTAGGAAATTCTATTTTGAGGAGATGAGTTATTTGTAAAATAAATAATTTGAAGATAATACATTTGGGGCTATTTCATTGATTTATAAGATAGAAATAAAAAATTTAAAAATTAGGATGATAAAGTCTCACAAATGGGCAAGCAATATCCTTTGTCTAAAAGAGGCAAACTAGAAACTTCAGGGGGTAAAATTCCCCACAGATGCACAGTGCATCTGAGCCACTGAAACTGAATATCATCAGATACATAGATCCCAGGTGCACCCTCAGTCCAGCCCCCTAAGAGGAGGAGCCTGAGGGACTCATATATGGTGCACTCAAGAGGAAAGAGGTACCTGAGTCTTTGGGTGGCAGAAGTCAGCATCCTGACGACAATGTGTTTGCAGACTTAGCGCAAACACTGGAAAATCAGCTTCCTCCAAATAAATCTGTTCTACTGATGTCATTGTTGCTCAGAACCTGGAAACTAGAATTTACGTTTAATTAAATGAAACCCAGGATCATTCACTAGTGTTAACCTAGAATGAATCCCCCTACTATTTGGAAGTAGACTATTTTGTAATAGCCTCTCTCTCATGCTCATATCTTCATCTTTGTATTTTTTTTCTTTCTCTACTCAGTCTCCATCCATCTCTGCTTTATCCCTGTCTCCATCTCTTTCACTCTTTCTCTTTCTCCTTTTTTCTCTCCTCTCCATTTTAAAACGTAGATGTATAGCAACCCACAGTGTGATCTATATTCTGAATTGCTTTTTAGCACTCCTGGAGGGCCCAGCCCTTTGCTGCTTTGGTATTGGGGAAGCGCAACTGCTTTAGATTCCCTGCCACAGCCACGCACTCCCTGCTTAGGGGTATTTGTATGATAGTAATGGTAGTTTGGGGAGTTCCCCTAGAGACTTCTGGTGGGGACTTGTAGACTAAGTCTGACAGCCAAAAGCAAAACAACAAGGGATATTTGTGAACTAATTAGATTATGCAGCCAATTTGATTGTTTATAAAGATGATTTATCTTAGCTGCTAAGATAAACAAAAAATATTTACACCGAACAAAAAAGTTGCAGGGCCAGGTGTGGTGGCTCATGCCTGTAATCCCAGCACTTTGGGAGGCTGAGGCAGGCAGATCATGAGGTCAGGAGATCGAGACCATCCTGGCCAACATGGTGAAACCTTGTCTCTACCAAAAATACAAAAATTAGCTGAGCATGGTGGCACGTGCCTGTGATCCCAGCTTCTCGGGAGGCTAAGGCAGGAGAATTGCTTGAACCAGGGAGTTGGAAGTTGCAGTGAGCCAAGATTGCGCCGCTGCACTCCAGCCTGGCAACAGAGTGAGACTCTGTCTCAAAAAAAGAAAAAAGTTGCTTCAGGAAAAACCCTTTTGAGGATATTTGCTGATTCTCTTATGGACTTTAGTGTCAACAAGGTCATCAGAAATTATGATCAAGACCTGGTAACAAATTGAGAAATAAGTTTGTGTGCAACTTCTGATTGATGCTAACAGATATATTTTTAAAATTTCCAATTCATTTTGTAAGCTTGCAATCTGCAATTGGTGTTGAAGAAGCCATTTTATGGAGCATTTCATCATCTGGGTACCAGATGTTCTGGAGTATATGCTTTTTTTTTTTTTTAAATGACCCATTTTATGGAATTTTTTTTTCTTTTTTTTTTTTACAGTCTAGGGATAACTCATTTTCATAGTCTGCAGAAAAACTCATGTTAGATGCATAGTGATTTCTCTCTATTCAAACTATTAATGCTTTGTATCATATAGTTTTATATATTCTTATTAAATCAATTCATATTTACTGTTAGAATGAACCCATATTTACTGATAGCCTACTGTGAGCAAAGCACAGTACTACAAATTGTGGAGAGTTATGAATGCGGATTTCAAAAAAGGTTCTAAACATTTCTTTTGATGAGGTGATAAGACAGCATGTAAATTTGCAATAGAAAAGCTAAGGTACTGCATACACAATGCTCTTTAGGACAAAGTCCACCCACTATTAAAAGCAAGGAGTCTCTAGCTGGGGAATCATTTGTTTAGTTGGCTTTTGCAAGACTGACGGTAGGATCAGTGTCGTCCTGCTATTTAAATTCCCCTTTCCTTGGGAGCTTCCTGTCGCAGTTTTTTTGAGGCTCTTGCCTACGTGTCATGTCGCATTAGTGAGCGCAGGCCACAGGGGACTTGGCTAGGATAGAAAATCCTGTATTTCTTTGGAAGAGGAAAAAAAAAAAGCCCTCACATTCATTTCCAGTTATTCATTTATCATCTTAAGGTCCATCCCAGATCTAAACTGTCTAGATCTGAACTGTTTAGATCTGAAATGTCGGTTTTTGGTTAGATGTTAATTGAGGGACAAATTGTCAGTAATTTTGATGTTAGTTTGTCATTTGACTTTTTATAAAAATAATTTAAGGCAATTTACAATGATGTATGTGATATTTGAAAAAAAAGAAAAACAAAAGGAACAGCCTGGGCATGGTGGTTCACGCCTATAATCCTAGCTCTTTGGGAGGCGGAGGTGGATGGATCACTTGAGCCCGGGAGTTTGAGACCAGCCTGGGTAACATGGCAAAACTCCATCTCTACAGGAAAAAAAAAAAAAAAAATACAAAAGTTAGTCAGGCATGGTGGCATGTGTCTGTTTTTCCAGCTACTCAGGAGGCTGAGGCAGGAGAATTGCTTGAACCCAGGAGGCGGAGGTTGCGGTGAGCTGAGAGTGCGCCATTGCACTTCAGCCTGGATGACTGAGTGAAGCCCTATTAAAAAACAACAACAACAAAACAAACAAACAAAACAAAACAAAACAACAACAAAAAAAAAAGGGACATAGGAAAGTGAAGCCAAGATAAAATAAGGATGAGAAAAGGCAAATGAACCAGCAATGAACTCACCTATAACTTCTCACATCACAAATTCTATCTGTTCTTTAAAAAGATACTTCTAGTTCCTGAAGTGATGCTACTTTCCCCACCTGTTGCTTTCTTCTGTAAGTCACTATGTTGCCTTATAAGGCTCAAGGTGGCTAGCAGAGATGGGGAAAGAGATTCTCTTTTTTATTTGCCAGCATTTGCAGCACGTCTCGACCTGCCTTGGGTGCAGAGGGAAAGCTGCTTGATATGTTATTATGGTTCAGGGTTGCTTACTAATTCTTAGAGTGAGCAGAGATCTGAAATAACCCCAACCACCCCCTAGCTATGGGAGCTTTCTACATTATACTTAGCAGGTGAGCATCAGTATCTTTTATTCGTGTTCACTACACGAATAAAGCATTTGCTGGACTTCGACATATGTTATGCACTTGGGACAGAAAAAGCTACCATTTGCAGTTCTTGTCTTTGAAGAGCTTAGAGATAGAGACCTGTAGGATGCTGGTTTACTTAATTATTCAAACACGCCTTTGTAGCCTCCTAGAAATACTAAAAGTGTACTTTGCTATTACCAAACTGCATCTCTATCTCCTGACTTGTAGACATGTCCATAATATATTGTTAAATGAGAAAAGCAAGGGGAGAGTAATGTAAAAAGTAGGATTCTTTCCCTATAAAAACATATGCCCCTCTGCCAAATATATGTGTTTGTGTGCTACTGTAGGTTTGCATAAGCAAGGAGAAGATATGTTGAAAGATCTGCATCAAACTATTAACCTTGGTTAATATTAACAACTGGTTGAGATTGATTAGTAAGGGGAAGTTTAGGGGAGAGGCAAGAGGATTAGCTTCTCCTTTAAACAGCACAAATGCTATTAATTATGATAACAATACAAAGCAATTATTAATTGCAATAATATTGCTGTTAATACAATAAGCGTGTATTGCAATTTTAATTTGAAAGGCACTACTTAAACTTTTAGAATCACAGTTAACAAATGAAAGCTGTTTGTTTAGATCTAAATTTTTGGTTTTTGTTTTGATCAGCACATCATGCAGCGAATTCAGAGGCTTCAGGCCGACTGGGTCTTGGAAATAGACACCTTCTTGAGTCAGACGCCCTATGGGTACCGGTCTTTCTCAAATATCATCAGCACCCTCAATCCCACTGCTAAACGACACTTGGTCCTCGCCTGCCACTATGACTCCAAGTATTTTTCCCATTGGGACAACAGAGTGTTTGTAGGAGCCACTGATTCAGCTGTGCCATGTGCAATGATGTTGGAACTCGCTCGTGCCTTAGACAAGAAACTCCTTTCCTTAAAGGTATCTGTTTTCCGCTTGTTGATTCCTAGGATAAAGTACATTAGCAGTAACTCAGAGTGAATTCTAGAATCCTTGGGGGAATGAGAATCTCCATTTAGAAATGGAGACTTTTGGTATATTTTTATTATGAATATTAATTGAAAGATTTCATGATTTGGAATATCAACCATGGGCAATAAACTTAAGATACGTGGCAAAGCATTCATTAATTGGTACCTGATTTCTCAGCCTTGAATGCACATTAAATTAAATGCAACATTTCTTTGTGAAAAATGAAGGAGGAAGTTTGTTTCAGGTATAGTATGAGAATTGTGTTTTGTAATGAACTATGTTTATTTCTTCTTGTTTCTTCGACCATGAAACATTACAACCTTCTGATCTGAGAGATGGTGGCTCTTGGCTTGGAGGAGGGAGTTGCAGCAAAGTGGTTCTGAAGTGGAGAGTGGGAAATTCAGACCTATCAAGATGAAAAAGCATGAAGCAGAAATGCATTATTGTTATTATCTGTGAATCTCAGCTCCATTTTATGTAGCATAGCAGAGCTTTTGTTATGCTCTCAGCTCAAAATACTTCTGGGACTCTCAGATGTTATTTCAGTCTTGGTGTTCTTAAGGGTATATGGGAAAAAGTGCTAAACTAGATGAAGACATTTTGTTCTGATATCGCTCATAACCAAGTAAACACAACAAAGCAAAAACAAAAAACTTTGTTCTCAGGCAACAAATGCTTTGTTCCCCCCTCAGAGCTTTATGAATGGTCCAGCCTTTGATACAATTGGGGTAAAGAAGTAAAAGGTTTATCTTGTAATGGAAGTAATAGAGATATTTGGTTCTATTTTTCTGGATATGCTGAACTTGAAGAAAGCAAGACTTGTTTATACCCTCTCAGTCTCCTTTTCACTTATTTTTTGGTTTGTTTTGTTTTCTGAGCCTTCTACAATGCCTTTGTCCCATGCATTGCCCTGCTTTTAGCTAGTTTCCTTCCCCAGCAATTGGATGAAGGAGTTCAGAAGCTGATGCAAAGGTCTGATTTTTCATATTTGCACTTCTAGTATAAGGACACAAAATGAAGTATGACTTGAAGACATTGCTCTGTTTAATGGATGTATTTTCTCCGAGTGAACTCCTTTGCTTTTTCCCATATAGCTCTACCTGCTTTTGGTGACCAGAAATATTAATAGAAAGGTCTGAATGAATTATTGATTGGGGTCATCATTAAAAAAATTCGAATCAACATATACATTCTCATAGTAATCCTTTCTGTTAGAGATAAATGGTGAGGTGGGGATTTTTTTTTTTTTTTTTTTTTTTTTGAGATGGAGTCTTGTACTGTTGCTCAGGCTGGCGTGTAGTGGTGGGATCTCGGCTCACTGCAAGCTCCACCTCCCGGGTTCACGCCATTCTCCTGCCTCAGCCTCGGAAGTAGCTGGGACTACAGGTGCCCGCCACCATGCCTGGCGAAGTTTTTGTACTTTTAGTAGAGTTGGAGTTTCACCGTGTTAGCCAGGATGGTCTCGATCTCCCGACCTCGTGATCCGCCTGCCTCAGCCTCCCAAAGTGCTGGGATTACAGGCGTGAGCCACCGCACCCAGCCCCGAGGTGGGGAATTTTTTTAAGAGGCTGTTTTTGAATGCAGACTTTGAGAGTATCAGATTTATTCTTCCAGTAATATGTTTTAACTAAATTTGTATTGAGGAGTTAAGTTCTTCAGCTGTCATGGATTGAGTAGACAGTGGTGGAAAGTGACCTGAAAGAGCACTGGATAAGTAGACTGGATTATTCCCAACTCTTCGTAGCCCCACTTCTCTCCAGTAATAGGACTGTCATTACACATCCACATCCTTTGTCTGGTAACTTTGCTGTGCCCTCCCACTGTAGCCGGTTGTACTTCCTCATCCCTTCACTCTGGACTTGGTTATTTGACTTGCCTTAGCCCATGGGATGTTAGTAGAGGTGACACAAGCAGAGGCTGGAAGTGTGCTTGTACCATTGGGCTTGCTCTCCCATGTCTTTGCCATAACCATGAGAATGGCATGCCCTGGCTAGCCTGCCAGTCCCAGCAGAAGGATGAAACACCTGGAGCAGAACCAACCTCGCTGACTGCACGGTGAAGCAGAGCTGCTCCAGTCAAACCCATTCTAGATCAGCTGCTCCCTAGCCGACCAACAGAGGTTATGTATCCCAGGAAGATACATAATGGCATTTCAAGCCACTGTGTTTGGGGTGTTATTCTATTCTATTATTGTGCCATTAGCTAACTGATAAAGCCTTGAATGGGGAAAGACTGCAGATAACCCACTGACTATGTGAACAGTGGTAATTAGGCATTCGTAGTGTTACCATGAAGACCTTCATACATCAGGCCAGTCAGATTCTCCTAGCTCCAAGGTACTAGGCTGAGTTACTAGCAATGAAGGCCATGGCTATTTTTCTGCCATTCCTGAAATGAAGCAAAAAGAGCAGGTTGCCTCATGGGACTCAGGATAAATGTCCACAGCAGTTTACTGCTGGCTAAATGAATGGATATTAGACAAACAGAATGAAAGTAAATCATTGTACTGATCACTGGAGTCACCCAGCTGTTGAAGTTTCGCTGAGGTACTTGAACTGTCAAACCTGCAAGAGATAAAATCTACCTCCTTTTGCCTCTGCCCTGGGCATGAGCAGAATGCTTCTTGTCCCAACTGGTCCCGTTCTGCCTTCTTGTTCTGTGATTATGTTGCCTGATTTGGAGCTAGAACTTTCAAGGCCCTTTAAACAACTGGAAGCTTAGAATGTCTCTACTGAAATAAGCACCTTACAATTTTTGCCAATGAGAAAATCTGTTTAATTATTTAATGCTTATTAAACTCTGAGTGCATTTATATTGTACAAACATGTCCTCTGCTTAATGCTCTCCAGGAGTTATGGAGGATTCAAATCAAATTAAACTGTGCTTTCCTCATGGTATAATTAAGGAGCAATATGAATGATTAGCATATAAAATTAACTTAGTTTTCAGATGATAAAGACAATTTTTTTCTCCTTTGAAATCACTGTTAAAACAATCAGGGAAACTCCATTTTTTGAAGAAACTAGAGAACGTCTGTGACTAGGAACCACAATATAAAGACAGAAGTTGGATGGAGAAATGGCAGATGACATATCAGAGCAGAGAGAAGTCGCGCTGTCCTGGAGAGGGAAGAAACGGAAGAAGCCAGTGGTTTTCCTGATAGAATCCCAAAAAGGCTCAGGGACTGGAGATGTGATAAGCTGAGGAAGGCAGGGCGAGGAAGGGGCTGGAGTGGAGCGTGTTTGGAAGTCTGTCGAAGGAGTATGTGAATATAGAGATTCCCACCCCACATTAGAGAGGCAGGTGAGTGCCCCTTGTGCCTTTGCCGGAGATGAGAAAATATTTTTCTAGAGAATTTGAACCAGGGAGGTTATGGAATTGAGAATAGCAAGTATAGAGGAGGGTGACAGTGAGGTACCCCATGGAAACAGGGGAGATTACGTGAAAGCCTACACATTGAACAGTGAGATCTACAGTCTGTCTCCCATCTTCAGCACCAGAAAGCCATCAGATAGGAAACTGGAGGATTCTTCTTCAGAGAATGTGAACCACCCTCACAGAAAAATCCCAGATGGTGACGTTCAGTAATCCTCAATGAAAACACTGGCTGGGCACCAGATTGCCCTGCAGTGAAGTCAACCAATCTGTGTCTCCAACTAGCATTTTAGTATCTTATTCTTTAACATGAATGAACACAAAGGATGACCAGACATTTGAGGACAGACTCCAGCATGAAAGAAAGGGCCTGGAGCAGTGGCTCATGTCTGTAATCCTAGCACTTTGGGAGGCCGAGGTGGGAGGATTGCTTGAGGCCAGGAGCTTGAGACCAGCCTGGGCAACATAGTGAGCCTCCCTCTCTAAAAAAAAAAAAAAAAATTAGCTGCTTATAGTGGCACACACCTTTAGTCCTAGCTACTTGGGAGGCTAAGGCAGGAGGATTGCTTGAGCCCAGGAGTTCAAGGCTGCAGTGCATTGTAATTGAGCCATTGCACTCCAGCCTGGGCAACACAGTGAGACTCTGTCTCTTAAATAAATAAATAAATAAATAATTTTTTTTAATGTAAAAAAAAAAGAAAGAAAGAAAAACAAATAATACAAATTTAAAATGAAGTTGGAGGAAATAGAGCAGAAAATGACTTGAAGGACACTGTTCCAATATTCTTATAGAGATAAGACGAGACATTATATCTATGCAAGAAAACCAGAATGCTGCAATAACAGAACAATCAGTCAATAAGAAGGAGCTTTTGGAAATTAAAATTTCTATTTTTAAAATAAATAAATCAATAAAACAGTTGGATCCTAAAGTAGAATAAATATCTTTGTTTTTAGAAAGAGGAATGACAAAAAGGAGATGATTTTGACTTCTGGAGAATAATTGTAACAATTCCAGTAGGTCATATAAAAAGTATTGGGAATGAGAATGGCACTGGACTTCTCAATAGAAACTTTGGGAGCTAGAAAACAATGAAATTATGCCTTAAGTATTCTAAATAAAAATAATTTGCAACCCAGAATCTTCAGGCCCAGACAAATTAAATGGGAAAATAGAATAAAGACATTTTCAGAGGTAAATCTCAACAATTTTCACTCCCATGTACCGTACTTTTCCCCCCAGAAATTGCTTAAAGCTGTGCTCTAGGAAAATCAAGAAAAAAATCAAGGAAGAGGGAGTCATGGGGTTCAGCTCACTGGGAGTCCCATATAGGGGAGGCAGAAATCTGCACAGTGATGGTGAGGGGAGCCCCAAGATGACAGATGGGCAACAGGCCTAGTGGTCGGTCTAGGCTGGAGCAGGCAGCAGAGGGCTCCGGAAGGGCCCATTCTTAAAAAACAAAACCAGACAGACACACGAGGAATAAAGGTGTGATAGTGTCTGGAACGCTTGACCACATAATGGTGAAGACATATTAGGCTCAAAGAAAACAAAGCAAATGAAAGAGAGGCCTGTGGTGAAGAATGGTGGGAAATAGGTTTGCAGAGGCAGGACGAACTGGATTGGGATGTTTGTGTATATGGGAAAGTACAGAAAGAGAGATCCCCACTGACTTTTGGTTTGAGTGACTGCAAGGGTAGTGTTGCCATCCATTTGGTTGAGGAGACTGTTGGTAACACATTTCCGGGGGAACCTCAGGAGCTGAGTTTTAACGCTTTGTTTGAGGTGTCTATTAATATCTGTGTGGAGATCTTCATTTGGCAGCTGAATATGTAGCCTGGAGATCGGTAGTGAAGTCAGGGCTGGAGATATATTTTTTAGAATTGACATATACGTGTATGTGTGTGTTGTGTTGTGTGTGTATGTGTGTGTTATGTGTGTGTGTTGTGTTGTGTGTGTGTAATATAATATTAGTATAATATAATATAATATAATATAATATAATATAATATATATGTATATATTGAGACCAGTCTGGGCAACATACTAAGGTTCCGTCTCTACGATATTATTATTGTTATTTAAAAATAGTTATATTAAAAATTCTCTACATATAATAATACACACACACAACACAGCACACACATACACACATAAGACAAACACACACATATATGACTTAAAGCCTCAAGAAGAGATATCAAGAGAGTGAGTGAGTGTGGACAGAGAAGAGAAGAGAACGATGGAGCAAGCCCCCGCGGCTCTCTAGCATTAAGAGGGAAGGGAGATGAAGGGAACCATTAGTGCTAAGGGAGGAGGAATGCAGTATCTTAGGAACCAAATGACGCAAGTGTAGCCAGGAGGGAGTGATTAACTATGTCGAATGCTGACAATAAGTCAAGAGAGATGAAGACCGAGAGTTGACCACTGGATGTAGTCATGTAGAGTCATTGGTGTTCTTGACAAGAGCAGTTTCAGTACATGGTGGAGATAAAAACCCAACTGGGCTAAGTTTAAGAAGCGGGATTGGAGACAGTGTGAATAGACAACTCCTTCAAGGGGTTTTTGCTATAAATGGGATTATAAAATTGGGCAGTAGATAGTGGAGATAGTGAGGTCAAATGTTTTAAGATGAGAAAAGCAACAGCATGTGTCTTGGCCGATGGGAGTTATCCAGCAGAGATAGAAAGATTGATGATGTAGGAGAGAAATGGCATTTGCTAGAGCAATGTCCTTGAGCAGATGAGAGGGGATAGGATTTTGTGCACAAGCAGAGAGATTGGCATCTAATATGAGCATGACAGAAAGAAATCAAGGTCATCGGTTGGGAATGAAGATGGGTGAGGTGGCAGGGAGAGGAGGAATGTGAAATCTTAGAAGAGTACCAGAGCGACTGAACTAAGAAAATACAGCATGACTTGCCAGTCAACATGAAAGGCCAGTGTGAGGTTTGTGGTCATGAACTTTAAGCAAGGCCAGACGGTGTGGTTATATATTTTTTCTCTGGCGAGGTTTAGCTGCATGAGTGCCGGCACAAAGTAGGTAGAGAGTGGGACTTAATGTTATGTTTTTGCCATGAAAATTTGACCGAGGCAGAGAGGGGCAAGGGAGTTAAGGGTGTATGCTAGTAAGCAATTGGAATGATTGACTGGAATTTAAGCCAAATATAGAGTGAAGTGGGGACATTATGGGGGTGAAGGACTGTGGAAAGGTGAAATATTCAATAGATTACGGGTTCCGGTGGGATTGAAGGAGTTTGAAGTTTAGAGTAACAGGCCCAATCTGAAAGACAGGGATTATTGTCAGACAGAGGAAAGTGTAAAATCAATCAGAATCTAGTCACTCTTTTTAGTTCTGTTCAAACACTGTCTTTTTCATAAAGCCTTCCTTGGAACTCCAGGATTTTGCTTCTCATTCTATCCAATTTCTAGAGGACTTTTATGTTACATTTGTGGCTGGTGGCACATTTTGCCATGCTCATGTATTTGTTTTATCTCTCCCCAACCCAACTAAAGTATAGGCTATTTCAAGGGAAGGGCTATACTTATTATTCTTTGTGTCTCTGTAGCATTCCTAGGGCAGACTCTTGAAGCTAGACTCAGTACAGAATCGAAGACTTAAATAAGGTGAGAAGCAAGAAAGATTTACAGTTGTTTCAGGTTAGATTCCCCAGGAAGCACCCTCTGATATGGAGCTTAGCATTCAGGTCACTTACTAGGGAGTGGCCTTGGATCAACACAGGTATTAGGGAGGGGAAGGAAATGGTGTTGGACAGAGGGAGAAGCAGAGCTACAGTGCAGGTTCAACAACGGCCTCAGCCAACCTCTGGGGAGCTCTGGAGATATGATGGCTCTTTAGGGAGCCCCCAGTACCCGTGTAGGTCAGCACCGGATGTAGGACACTCCCAGGAGGCACAGCTGAGACAATTCCTAAAGTGACTGACGACTCTCCCAGCAGCTGAGGCAACACACCCTCGTATAGGGGAAGTGGGTGATGTACCACACGATTCATCAGAGCACTTTCATTGTTTCAAAATTCTGTGAGGAGTAAGAAAAAACATAAAAGACTTCTATTTTCAGAGGGAATGGAAGAAGGTGGTTTACATGGGTGAGGACTGTGGGAGGTGTGATGACTTTTGAAGCGGAAGTGGTGTGGAATAAATTTTGGCATAGTTTCACTTGCTTTGGTCTTCCTTTCTTTATGGCACATCTATCTTTTTGCCCAATTAATAGAAAATCATGCTATTTTTCATCATCACAGTATTTTTTTTGCTATCTTTTTATTGTTGTTTTTACCAGACTGTTTCAGACTCCAAGCCACATTTGTCACTCCAGCTGATATTCTTTGATGGGGAAGAGGCTTTTCTTCACTGGTCTCCTCAAGATTCTCTCTATGGGTCTCGACACTTAGCTGCAAAGATGGCATCGACCCCACACCCACCTGGAGCGAGAGGCACCAGCCAACTGCATGGCATGGTTAGTCTGGGCAATTTCCATGGCACTGTAGCTGTAGGCTCTGCCTGCAAGGAAAAGGTTGCAAAAGCCAAGTAAAGACCTAAAAATGCCACAATATCCTTGGAGCAGAGTGTTTATGGTAGAACATTCCTTGGCAGGCATTGGGTTTTTGAGGAATCCCAGAGCTAAAAAGAATGATTCTGAACTGGCGCCGTGGCTCATAACCTGTAATCCCAGCATTGTGGGAGGTCGAGGCGGGAGGATCACTTGAGCCCAGGAGTTTGAGACCAGACTGGGCAACATAGGGGGACTTCATCTCTACAACAAATAAAATAATTAGCTGGGTGTGGTTGTGTATGCCTGTAATCTTAAGCTACTCAAGAAGCTAAGGCAGGAGGATTGTTTGAGCCCAGGAGTTCGAGGCTGCAGTGAGCTATCATTGCTCCATTGCACTCCAGCCTGGGCAACAGAGGGAGACCCTATTTAAAAAAGAAAGAAAGAGAGAGAGAGAGAGAGAGAGAGAGAGAGAGAGAGAGAGAGAGAGAAAGAAAGAGAGAGAAAGAAAGAAAGAAGAAAGAAAGAAAGAAAGAAAGAAAGAAAGAAAGAAAGAAAGAAAGAAAGAAAGAAAGAAAGAAAGAAAGAAAAGGATTGCTGGTTTGAAGCCATGTTTGACTGAGCTTAATTAAGATGATGAAATGATGTAAAAAATTGGATTACAGGAGCATCAGATTCAGTTGGGCCCAATGGGAGCCCATTCCCCCAGTACTGTATGGAGGTGGAGAGAGCAAACCCCTTCTTTGAGGTGTTTATAAGTCTGAAGAACATGGGGCTTTGGGAAATGGAATACAAGAGGGGTGGGGGTGAAGAATTTCCTTGTGACTTTAAAGCATTACCGTGACTCCAGTGTGACTATGACAGTTTGATGTGTTGGTTTTGATGTGGCATTTTTGACATGGGGGTGGGGATATTTTGATGCTGCCTTAAAACCCTGCTATTATTACTAAGTAATGGGCGCAACACACAGCCTCATTTTCATCCCCATTCCTGGGCCCACACTCCATCCCTAATCCCTCCCCGGGCCCCTGCATCCTCTCCTGACTCTGACTCTCTTCCCATATTTGATCTTCATTCTGTCCCCACATCTTCACTAACCCCAACTTGGAACCTCATGCTACCTTTGAGACTTCACTCTCCCCAGTGCCTTCATCCCTCCCTGAAGCTCACCCCATCTGTGAACTGATAGCTTATTCCCAGCACCCCTACTCTTTCCTACCCATTGCCTTGTCACTGACCTTCACCCTATAAAAGTCCAAACGGCCACATTCTGTGTCCTCTATGACCCTAACACACCTCCTGTTGGCATTTGCTCCCTCCTGTTATCCATTGGCAGCTCCTAATGGGCCAGGGGAATGTGGTCAGCATCTCATTCATTCACTTGTGCCCAAGTCCCCAAAAAGCATTCAGAACATATTCACAAGAGGAGAGGCCTGGTTGATCGGTAGCAGAACAAAGTTATTTATTTATCAGTCTAAATATATGAAGCCACAGTGATTCATATATTTGGACTGATAAATAAATTTGTTGAGTGAAGACCATTATTTTCCAGAAACAGACCCTTAATAGATTATCCAACCTTGTGAATATGTTCCTATTTCAAACAAGCCTATTTTTTCTTACAACAAATATATTGATTTTCATTTATGAATTTATTCATACTATGTCTTTAGGATCACAGACTCTGAAAATATTTATCTACTATGTGTTAGGATGTATGCTAAATATTTATCCACACATTATTTTACTTAGGTAAATCAGGAGGTCTTAATCTAGTGAGTAGTCTTCAGAGAGTCCTCGTGATGAGATGATAGAGAGCTATAATCAGAAGATCAGCTAGTTTGAGCTTCTTATTTGATACACAAGGAAATGGAGATCCAGAGACACAATGTTATATAGCTCCTGTACAAGGAATTTTTCTTAGATACTATTTGATCAATAAATAATTACTATCCAAGTGCCTTCCTTTGGGAGTTTTATCATTACAGATTAAGGATAAAATGACTACACAGAGTGGAATAGAAGATCAGACAGGCTTGGACTCCTTTCTGAAAATAAATGTATGCTTTTAAAGTCCACAAAATATTTATTTAAATGTCTTCTATCTAATTTATCCTTAGTGATATCCTTTTGGAATTACATACACAAATAATCAATACTTTGCTATTTGTCCACATTGCATAAACACGATTGAAAGAGTTCTCCAAAACAATTAGCATAAAATGTTAGTAAATCTTTTGTTCATTCATATAGCTTCCCATATTATTCTCAATTACTAAAATGCAGTTAATTCTAGCTGATTGTATTTCCCTATTGATGAATATAAAATGTGTTTTGGCGATGGTGATTAAACATTACTTTTTCTGCCTTAGGATTTATTGGTCTTATTGGATTTGATTGGAGCTCCAAATCCAATGTTTCCCAATTTTTTTCCGAACTCAGCCAGATGGTTTGAAAGACTTCAAGCAATTGGTAAGCACCACTGTCATTAATGAATAAAACATAATTCCTTCCTACTGACAGATACTACATTTTAAAATTCAAAATTTACAATTTGGCCGGGCACGGTGGCTCACGCCTATAATCCTAGCACTTTGGGAGGCCAAGGCGCGCAGATCAGCTAGGGTCAGGAGTTCGAGATGAGCCTGGCCAACATGAAATGGGGGTTTCATGTTTAATAGAGACGGGGTTTCAATAAAATCAGCTGGGTGTGGTGATGGGCACCTGTAATCCCAGCTACTTGATAGGCTGAGGCATGAGAATCACTTGAACCTTGGAAGCAGAGGTTGCAGTGAGCCAAGATGGTGCCATTGCACTCCAGCCTGGGTGACAGAGTGAGGCTCCATCTCAAAAAAAGAAAAAAAAATTGTAATTTAAGTGTATGATTTAAATGTATAATATACTTTATTGGCTTTTATTCTTGCTTTATTGATTAGTTGTTTACTATTTTCATCTTTGTAGTAAGCCCAGTTTATTTTCCTGCATGAAACTGTATTTTCAAATGGAAACATAAAATACTACATTTCATGTTTGCATATCCTTAAAAATGGTTTGAAAATATTTTCCCAGAGTCCTGTTTGAAGCATGTAGAATACATTTCAGGAGGAAACTTTACTCAACAAAGCATGTTGGCTAATGATGAATATGATGTCCTTATAACGATATCAAAATATATTCTTCAGTTTTTCTTTTCCATCTCTGTCTTTGCCACCTTCTATTTTCTTCCTTATCCAGATATTATTTTCCTTTAAATCTAGTACAATCTCCACCAATTTTCGAAAGAAGTAAGAGATCAGGATGAAGAGAAAGCCAGATCCTTTAAGATTTAGAGTCAAATAAATGGGAGTATACTAGGCCAGACCAGGTCAGGCCAGGCCAGTCCTAGAAAACCTATGCATCTATGGCGGAAGAGAGGGGCTTGGGGTTTGGAGAAAGAAAAGGAGAATAACTTCTTATCTTTGTACTTCCATCCTACCCAAAACAAAACAAAACTCTTCAGGCATCAGGGAAAGATGAAAATTAGATTGATCTTTATTGTAGAATCCAGCCCAGGGGGCTGCTCTGAAGGCCAGAATTTCATGCTAGAAATTCCTTAGCCACACAAACTTCTTGGAGCAAGATAGATTTGTATTACTTCTAAGCAGTGGGGAAAACACTGCCATCATAACTCACACTTTTGCCATGAGTAAAGAATTTGTCTAGAATCTTAGAGAAACTTCTACCTGAACTTCAGATGCACATCACTGGCAAATTTCATTTCCTAGTTTGAAAGAATGACTATAATGGTGTTATTGATATAAACTTCGTGGGCTTCTTCCTTGCAGCATGTTTTCCTTACTTTGATGGTAGCCTCAAGAAACTGAGTTTGGCTTTCTTTCAAGGATTTTGTGCACTTTTATAATTTCCTGTACCAGAATGAACTTATGCCAATAACTTGCACCTTCATGCAATTTTAACGCATTGTACTGCCCCTCCTATTGGTATTTACATTTCAAACCATATCTCTAGTTGTATAAGAAAAAGTTGTGTCTCATGGTAAAGGAATTATAAATACCAATAAACAGACAAGAATATTGTTTTTGGTGGTGGTTAGGGCTTTCCCAATGTTCCTAGAATCATATTACGTATGATTGATTACTAGTTGGTTTATTTTTTACCCTTTAAATGTAGCAATTAAAGAAAGCTATCCTAGGAAGGTTCATTTGGTTGTCTTATAATATTCATGTGATCTCTTGTCATCTTGTAACATACAATACATGACTTATGTAGGCCGGTGGTTCTCAAATTTTAAAGTGCATCAGAATCACCTGGAGGGCTTCTTATAACACAGATTGCTGGACTCCAACCCCAGAATTTCTGTAAGTCTGAGGTGGGACCAGATAATTTCCATTTCTGACAAGTTCCTAGGTGTTGCTGATGTTGCTGGTCAGACATCACACTTTGAGAACCACTGATGTAGGTAACACTAGGTATCCCTTTCCCACAGAGTGGCCACTTGATATACTTCATCTCTACTCTGTTTGAGTATACCCCTTTAAGCTCCATATCTCATCTAAGTCATTCTTCATGCGGCATCTTGGACCTAGAAGCATTTACATCTGCACCTGTATTCTCCCCTTCCACCCAACTGTCCTCTGTTTTTTTCATTCTCTCTCTCTCCATGGTTCTGTTGAGTTTCTACCTCTAAGGAGGTTCTCACCTGTAAGTTTAGAGCCACATGTGACTCTTCTCTCTTCCTGCTCCAAAATGTACACACCCCTGTTCAGCCCAGATGTTTATTGTCATGGGTGTGGCCATGCTTGCTGTTGCATAATCTTTTAAAAATTATGGACTCATGTGCTAAGATTTCAAACTCCTGAAATAAGATTACAGTATGAGTCTTGATCAGATAAAAATAGTTGTTCATCTATTGTATAATTGTCATCTACAGAACATGAACTTCATGAATTGGGTTTGCTCAAGGATCACTCTTTGGAGAGGCGGTATTTCCAGAATTACAGTTATGGAGGTGTGATTCAGGATGACCATATTCCATTTTTAAGAAGAGGTAATGTATGTGCCTGTGTGTGTGTGTGTGTGCGTGTGCAGCCTGATTTTGGAGTACAATGGTGGGATATGAGAAAGTACACAGATGATGATGAATTATCAGCTGTCTTTATACGGTACAGAGCTCCCTCTGCTTGAAGAATGACACTTTCTAGTTTATTCACTGGAGTAATGTGCATTGTTACAAGTTGGGTCTTTCTTAATAGGTGTTCCAATTCTGCATCTGATACCATCTCCTTTCCCTGAAGTCTGGCACACCATGGATGACAATGAAGAAAATTTGGATGAATCAACCATTGACAATCTAAACAAAATCCTACAAGTCTTTGTGTTGGAATATCTTCATTTGTAATACTCTGATTTAGTTTATGATAATTGGTTCTAGAATTGAATTAAAAAGTCAAGGCATCATTTAAAATAATCTGATTTCAGACAAATGCTGTGTGGAAACATCTATCCTGTAGATCATCCTATTCTTAGGTGTCTGGTTGTCAGATCAATTATAGAATAATTATGTTGTGATATTGTGTCCTAAATTGCTCATTAATTTTTATTTACAGATTGAAAAAGAGGGACTGTGTAAAGAAAATGGAAAATAAATATCTTTCAAAAATGCTTTTAGATAAACATGATGAGGTAAAATCAGGTTCATTTATTCAATCATAGTCTTCTAAACAGTACTTACATAGTGGTTGGAAAATGTAGCCTTCATTTTATGATTTTTCATATGTGGGAATCTATTACATGTAATACAAAACAAAGATATAGTTTGAAGGCTCTTAGATTTCTTTGCGAAATCTTTGTAGGGTTAATTTTATGGAAATTAAAATCAGAATTAAGTGCTATGTTGTGATGTCTTTTTTTATATAAAAGCGAACTAATGGCGATTCTGTCAATATAATGGGATTTTAGTTTTTCTCACTTTTTCTTTTCTTTCTTTCTTTCTTTTTTTTTTTTTGAGACAGGGTCTCACTCTGTTGCCCAGGCTGGAGTGCAGTAGCATGATATCATGGCTCACTGCAGCCTTGACCTCCTGGGCTCAAGCTATCCTCTCAGCTCTGCCTGACGAGTGGTTGGGACTACAGGCGTGCACCACCTAGCTAATTTTTTTGCCTGGCTAATTTTTTTTTGGCATTTTTGTGTGTATGTGGTTTCTCCATGTTGCCCAAGCTGGTCTTGAACTCCTGGGCTCAAGCAATCTTCCTGTCTTGGCCTCCCGAAGTGCTGGGATTACAGGAATGAGCCACTGCATCCAGTCTCCTCACATTTCTTAAATGCAGATTTTTCTTATAAAGGTATAATCAAACTATTACAATTTTTTGACCTGTTTTTTCCTGTTAAACGATGTAATTACTAGGCATGTATTTGCTGTTTTGGTTTTGGACTGAGGTGAGGACAGAAAAAGACTGCTGAATGTGAACTCTAGAGTCAATATTAAGGTAACACAGTAGTACAGCAGTAGTTGTGACAATTTTTGTGTAGGTAGATTATGGTATTCAGTTTGGTTAGTTACTTAGAGCATTTTTGTCTGGATATACATAGGCATTCACAAGTTGTCTTTAGCTACAGGAAACAATTATCTAGAAATACAAACTTGATCAATTAAATAATTAGGAAATTGTTCCTGGCATACAGATGAAGTTAGTTGGGGCCACTGTGTCCTGTGTGTTCCCTGTTCAGACAAGACATTTAGTAAATACTCAGTGAATTAATGTGCCAAATGACAATAGAAGTCATTGGGAAAGTAATTTACTTGCTAAAACATAGTTTTCAGGTAAGAAAAGGATAAAAATAATTTCATCTATTTGACTTTGCAAATTATATAGAAGAATATAGCCAGAATTATATATGTATACTTAGATATATTTTATGCTATATATAACATTTATATATAAATATATATTACATTTATATATATTTATATATAACATTACCTGTCTATAATTTCACTTTGGTAAATTTTGTAGAATTAGATTCTTCTAGGATTCCTTTTTATTTTCCAAATGTCCTTCCAAAGTCATGCATGTCCTTCCAAAGTCATGTAAAGGAATGTCGTGCCTCTGTGAATTAATGATATTAAGAGCTAACACTTACTGAGTGCTAACTCTGTGCCAGACAGTCACATGTGCTTTATGTGTTTTACTAACTTAATCCCCACAATAATCGTGTGAAGTAGGTGGTATTTGTAAACTTACTTTATGATGCTCAGAGTAGTTAAGTGTATTCTCCAATATTACATAACTAGTAAGCGGTCATAGTGGGATTTGTACCCAAGAAGTCTAGCTCTAAAGCTTATGCCTGGGAACTGCTCTAGAATGTTGCCCCTTTACATGAAAAGAACTATGCAGAATATTCCTGATGCCAAATGCAAAGCAATAGTTGTATCTTGAAATTTTTATAGGTCATTTCAAACTGGGGATGCAGTCTTAGGTCATTGCTGCCACGATTCACCTGACAACTTAGGCTTCAGAGACACATAATTTCCATGCAGAATGATTACTCTGCCATAGCGAAGGCTATTTTTGCATAAGCGTGGGCATATACAAATCAAGGCAAGTGGTTCCGGGCTAAAGTATCTAAGCCACAAAGCAGGATTAAAAGAGCTGAGTTTTCTGGATTAATTTTTTGGATGAGAGAAAACATTTGAAAAGAGTTCAGGGAAAACACATTTATTTTTTTAACATGAGAAAAGAAATGGTCTAACAGACTGATGATATTAAAACAGAATGAAATGAAGTTTTAATGAGGAACCTAAACATTAGTTGACAGTACTGCATACATAATTGTGAGTCTAAATGATAAACTCATTTGGAGGCAAAATGAAATTAATAAGAGATCTACTATAATCTGTTGAGTTCACATTAGTTCAATTATTTTTAGAGGAGGTTTGTGGATGTGTTGAAATGGGATAAAAGAAAAAATAAAACCATAAGCAGCTTAATTCAGTGAAGGTTTTCTTCCTTTGAAAAGACATATCCTCAAATTCTACTCACTAAGAGTTTGCACTGATAAGGGAAAAGCAGCCATGATGTCATAAACGGAGACATTTTAAGGCATTAACCTGATATTAATCTCTGAAATATGCTCTGTATAATTCATGCCAGTCAGAAATATTACTTTTTTAAAATTATAGCTGCAAAGGCAGTGCTCCATAAACATCAGGTTGCATTTGGAATTTTTCTATGTGCATTTTGGAGCATTTTACGGCCCTAAGAGAACAATTTGTATGTTTTGTCTATTACTGTCAGCCCTGCAATACATAGGGCTATTTTTCTTCTTCAAGAGAAACGAGTTCAAAGGAAAATATTAATAAATGAGTATTCATAACCTTGGCATCTAAAAAAAATCATGAGCCTGTTATTGTAGCTTGAGGGTTGTGGCTGGAAGAGAAAAGACAGATCCTTCAAAATGGAGAAATGTTTTAGATGGCAAAGCAATTGTCATTAAGAATAAAGCAGCCCATGTTTTCAGCTCCAACTTCAAATCCTCAAGCAGTTTATTTCATGAAGCTTCTTTCTTCCATCAAAGAAATACATTCATTATGGTGCTGCAGCAAAATCATGTGAAAACTGAATGTTTCCTCAATCAACTTGGCCCAGCTGGAGGTGATTATTTTGTGTAAAGGAGGGACGATGGACACGATTCAAGATGCTTCCATTTCATTAATGTACAGACAACCCTGCAGGAGGCTTGGTCACAGTATATTCTGCGGAAAATCAAGGCTCAGTTTCTGTGCAAGACCTGAATCTGAGGAACGAAGGTGGGAGAGGGGAAGAGAAGAAATAAAGAGAAGATGAGGGAGACTATTCAGGACAGCTGCAGTAATTTAAAGCAAAGCTAATGTAGAAAATTTGGGTGAAATTATTTAAATTTGCTATTCATCTTAAGTCATGGGTCTGTGCTTTCAGGGCCAGCCTCCCCCTAACTTTTGGCTTCAAAGATGAATGAACGAAAGATTGAGGTTTCACTCTCAGTTTCAGGGCCACTTTTTACGCAGCCTGAAATTCTAAAAGTGGTTTTGAAGTGGTTTAACTGCCTCCCCTTACTTCCCTTTCGTCTATCGCTTCTGTGTCTTTTATGGTACATCTTTTCCATTCCTCAAATAGTTACTGCTTTGTTGCAAGGGGCAGATAGCATAGTGTAAAGCTACTGCTGTGTTCCAAGGGGCTGAGGTGGAGAGAAAAGGTTGTTAGCTGGCTGAGCCAGTAGGGTGGCATAGGATACCCCTCAAATGCTCGTACACATGAACATTGGCCCCAGGCTCTTGGCAATACATCCAGCAGCAATAATTTATGACAGTTTTATAGAGAGCTGGGATGAAAGGACTGGCTTGTGTCATGGCTGTATTCCTCAGCCGGAATTTGGTTGGCGTACGCACGCAATGTGAAGTCATCTTATGGTGCTCATATTTCAAAGGCAACACATGGAACAGCGCCCACTCTCCTGACATATCCGAATCTGCCAGTGAAGCGTTTAGACCATTTGTTTGAGAATTAACATTAAGAGCACAAAATTGCCAAGAAGGGGAAATAGCATGGCTTAAAGCAAAAAAGCAAAAACAAAACAAAACAAAAACCCCAAATTCACAAAGGTTACAAAGGTAATATGAAAATAGATTTAAAAACTCATAAATTGTAAACAGCACTGGAAACTTTATTCTCTTACATTTACTGAGCACTGTGTGGTACAGGAGGTCCTTGGCACTCATGGACTTAACATTTGTGGTTTTGGCTAACAAAGAACGACATGTAGTAAGTTACACGAGCTAAGAGATTGGCGTGGAGAAGTAAATGAGCATAGCTGACTACCAGCCATCAATTTCACTGTTGTTCTCTAGTCATCCTTGCAGTAACACTTGGGAAGTGATAAACCCCGTTTCTTTGTAAAAATGAACCCCTCCTCCAAGCCAACTGCTCTCTATGGAGATGTTATTGAGAGGTCTGGAAAAATGCTGGCTACAGTGAGTAGCTTTATAAGTGATTTTAATCCTTTACGAATAGATGAATTAATGTTAGGAAAAGATCACTTTAAAATTTCAGTTTTAAAACTTTATTTAATGAGGAAAATCATAAGCAACGATGGTATTTAAAAGCACTTAGGATATTTTCCTTGAGAATGTTAAAGCTCCATTTTAGGTTATATTAGAATGATTCCATATCAAGTAACTGGTTGTGATCATCCTTTCACAGGTTTACCCATAGAGCTGTATATTAGTGTCCTCATTTTACAAATAAGTGAATACAGACTTTCAATTATTCTCAGCTGATGCTTAGACTAGACTCTAGGGAACTTAATTTTTGATACATGACATGGCTAATTTCGGCTCGATTAGAAGGGACCTTAGAGATTTTCTACTTCACTGGCTTACTGGTTTTCAGCTACCCCCTAGGGGGCATTTGAAAATGTGTGTGTGTGTGTGTGTGTGTGTGTGCGCGCGCGCGCGCATTTCTGTGCTTATGTAGTGGAATGGGTGGTGAATGTTTGTCATGAAGACTGAGGGGTGCTTCTGGAATTTAGTCGTCAGGGGCAAAAAAAGAATGTTCAGGACAGTTTGCACACTAGAGAATTGTCTCACCCCAAATGCCAATGGTACCTCCACAGCACTGACTAGTTTTCAACATTCTCATTTTAAAGGTTTAGCTATCAAGATCCAGAGAGGATGGATCACTTAAGATTCCCTTGGTTTGCAAGTGACAGAAAATTCAAACTTACCTGAGCAAAAAATGAAATGTATTTCATGTCTCTGACTTTAGACACAGTTGACCCCAGAACCCTGTCTCTTATCTATTTGCTCTGCCCTTCTCTGGGTATGCATTAAACTTAGGTAAGTACTTCCTTCTGGGGG